ATGGAAAGGGGGACGCCAGTAGACTGTACGATATGGCGGCGGGCGCTGACGGAAAGATGATTCTGGCTGGGTACACGGACGGGTCGTGGGAAGACGGCGCCAACCTGGGAGCAGATGATTTTTTGGCCGTTATGCTCAACACTATCGCAACTACACCCGCACCATCATCACCCGGCGGTGACACGGTAGGCGGCCCTACAGCCGCCCCATCTACCCCCGCCGCGGCCACACCTGCAACATCATCACCCGGCGGTGACGCGATAGGCGGCCCTACGGGCGCGCCATCTCTCCCCGCCACAACAACACCAGGTACATCATCAGCCAGTGATTCTCCGACAGGCGGCCTCACAGCCGCACCTCTTAGCGATGGATCGGCCTCTAGCACTGCACCGATCATAGCGGGGGCGCTTTCCACCGCTGCTTTCGTGGCACTCTCCGCTGTCGGTTTTCTGCTGAGAAGGCGCAGAGCGGCGAAAAAGAACGGGGCAGACGGGGAAGACCCGCATGTTCTGCCTCTCGATGGGCTTGAAGACGGCCGGCAGCACGAAGTGAGCTTGAGCAAATCAGCTGTCATCGACGGAGGCGGCAACCCGACCCTGCACCAAGAAAACCATTCTCCGCCCGCCAACCATGTTAAGTCGGTGGAGGCTGCGGCTAGCGGAGGAGGCGCCGCTGCAACGTTAAACACCTCGCAGCCGATTGATGCCGGCAAGGTTGCTGGTGTTGCACTAGCAGACGGTTCTGCCGAAGACTACTTGGCAAAGCAGCACTTCGTTGTGGCTACGACTTCCACGGCGGACGCCTCCACGCTCGATCGGGCCGCAGTAGCCGGCATCTTCGGTGAAGAAGCCGAGTTTTGGGCCGACGGACCAAAGCCAGCTTCTTCTGCAGCCGGTCGCCGTGGATCATGTAGCGATGTCGGAGTTGGACGCGCCGTGATGAATGCGGCGCAGGAGCTAGCGCAACGCTGCCAGATTCCCGGCGTTAGCGAGGCGGCAGCCATGGTGTCCATTCTCGTCAATCTTGTGACAGATAGCCGCGACAGCAACAACAAGGGCGACGCTACGCTCAAGCAATGCCGCTCGGTTGTCATGGCGCTCGAACGGGCCGCGACGGTGGCTGGTGAGGTGAGCACGCGATATGGGAGCCTCCCCTTGTCTTTTTCGTTGGCGGTGTTACACGTTATGGCGGGCTTGCGACAATGTCGATTCGAAGCACCTTGCCCTTGGAAAACATATTCCGTACATGGTAAGAGACACAGAAAGGGAGCGAGATGGAAACAAACCTAGTGAGACAGAAGAGGGTCCCGCGAAACCGATAAGAATTTTGGCAAATTATTATTATTCCGGGACAGATGTTTTTGAGTTTAATTACGCGGGCGAAGCCCGTTAATACATATGTGAAACTCATTTATCTGCGGGGCGCACGCTTTTAAAAATACTGCACCCCTCTCTCTGAATCAACGAAGGAGAGGAGATCTGACATCAGGAGTAGAGGTGCCGTCACCGCGGCAGCAAAGAAATCACCGTGCAGCTTTGCTGCCATATGGGATGTTGATGAATGCTTTGGGGCGTGCGTTCAATTCAAAGAACCCCAGATGACGTCAAGAGAGCGAAGAAAGTAGGCAAGTAACCCGTAGTAGATATAGATAGATGCAGCGATGCCAGAGCATCACAATCATCACGGTACTTAAAGCGGTAATGCTAATTACGACACCGGTGTCATAAAAAAATATTTTACGACACCGCTCAAAATGCTTCGACCCTATATTCTCTGTTTTCCTGCGGCTCTGAGCGGTCGCGCGAGCCTTCGTTCGTCCCATAGTGACCAGTGGTTGCCGAGATATGACCCAAAACGATGTCACGGTACCACCTGCTCGGTGTCGTAAATACGCACTGCGCGAAACTTTCCGAAAACACCTCCAACAAGGATGAAACGACCTTTGCTGTGTTCCAAGGGCCCCCAGCTGTCACACAAGCCGTCAATTGGCCAAAACCAACCCGTGGTTCCCGAGATACGCCCAAGAATGTGGCCACAGCACCACCT